AGTACTCCTAGAGTAACAGTTACTAGAGGCAATGCTACTACAGGCAGCAGCATCAGTGTTTCACTGTGAGCAGTGTGGCAGCAGCAGCACTAATACTCCTAGAGTAACAGTTACTAGAGGCAATGCTGCAGTGGTAGTCCAAGCTCTGGTGAGTGACATTCCAGCGAGCAACACCGATGCTGCTCTCTGAAGGGCCTGTGCCCTTGTCCTGACCTTGCAGTGGCACTGCCCATTGGTCTTGTTGCAGTTGGGGTCGAATCCCTTGTTGGCGTCACAGTGGCAGGGCCCACAGGTCGGACTGCCCCACCACCCTCGCGGGCACTGCTGTTCTGTCCTGTAGGGGGCAGCGCAGAAACACACGGTCAGAGACTGACACACACACACACACACACACACTTAACCTGTACCACAAACAGTGTTTTTTTGCGTTTCTGTTTTTTTTTAAACTTCGTGTCAGGACACTCTAAATTCGCAATAAATGTTTGTTGCTATGTATTCAAACTCTTTGCTGTGGCAAACCTTAATTAATTTATAGTAGGTGCACAAAATTACCTTATTGTGCCACATGATTATTTGAGTGTCCTCTGTCTGTGTGCAATAATAGTGATTCAGAATAAATGCGAGTCAACACTATCCTTACTATCAAGCATGGTGATGACAGCATTAGGTTATATAGTTCATCTCATCAGCAGGGACTGGGAAGCTTCTCAAGACTGATATGTAGATGGAGCAAATAACTGGAAAACCTTTTAAAGACCTAAAACCAGGACAAAACTTCACCTCCCAGCAGAAGAGTGACTGGAGTACAGAGTCCAGTACAGCGAGCTCACCTGTGCTGGCAGTACTGCCCGAAGTGGTTATCCTTGCAGTCACAGGTGTACCCATGGGAGCTGTTGCGCCTGTGGTGGCACTGAGCTTCATTCTCACAGGGGTTCAGCTGACAGGCATCTATACAGTCCTTCCCATAGTAGCCTGGACAGCCACATATAGGCAGACAGACAAGCAGAGCAGGAGACATTAAGGACAGTGTACCAGGTGGACAGTTGCACACAAAATGTAGAAAGCGTCATTAAAAAGACAAAACCCATGAGACACCCAGGACAGAGAGGTGGACACAATATCAGGAACAGACAGGCTAGAAACCTTCAGGTTCAGGCTGAGGGACAGACAGGGAGACTGAGGCAGACAGACAAAGGTTGAGAGACAGACGGGCAGAGAGACTGATGGACAGGCAAAGAGGCTGAGAGATGGACAGAAGCTGAGAGATTAAGTGACAGGCAGAGAGACTGAGAGACAGGCAGATAGCATCAGTGACAACATCAGGTCCCCAGTGCTTTGCTCTGTTGCTACTAGAGAAACTGCACAGTCACACATTTCCTAATTAGTTCTCTTCACTCTAATTAGCATGCCCTTTATATAACACTGACTGTTAATTAATTGTTAATCACTGAATTAGCACCAGAAGATGTGAAGGAATAATGCACAGTTTAGAGGTTACAAAGGCAAACTTTTTGTAAAAGTCTTTTATTCCTCTCGCTCTTTACAAAAGCTAATTCCGGAGGTTTATTAGCAATTAATGATACACTAATTAAAATTGAGTTGATTGTGTTTGGTGTTAATTAAGGAGCATGTTTGCTCGCTTGCCGTCTCCTCTCTCTCCTTCTTTCTTACCCTTTTCTTCCGCCTCCTCTCCCTCCTTCCGGCTTCCTGTTTTCTCCTCCTGCTCTCCTTCTAAGCCTTTCATCTCCTTTCTCTCCATCCCTCCCCGGCCCCCTCTCCACCCCTTGTCTTCTCCCTCTTCTTGCCCCCAAGCTCTGCACTCCTCCCCCTCTGTCTTTCTGTTTCCCCTGCCCACCCTTGTCATCA